ACCGTCGGTGGTGGCACCGTCACCGCCGGTGACGCCGCCGGTGGCAGCGGCGGCCGCCAGCTCGCGGTGCAGGGCCGCCTGTGCCCGCGGGTTCCGTGCCAGCTCGTACAGGCTCCAGGCCAGCGTGCTGGCCACCTGGGGACACGCGGTGACATCAGCGGGACGCGCGGTGACATCGGCGGGGACGCGCCGGTGTCACCCCCCTCACCGTGTCCACCCCGGCCAGCAGCAGCTCGGTGACGTTCCCGTAGATGCTGCTGATGGGGACGCGCTCCCGGGCCAGCAGGTCGGTGACACACGTGTCCCCCTCGGCCAGCGGCCCCCGCGCTGCCACCTCGGCCACGCGCCGGTCCACGTGTCCCTTGGCTGGGGACAGCAACAGCCGTCAGTGCCACCGAGTCCCCGTCAGTGCCACCATGGCCCTACATTGTCACCGGGTCCCCGTCAGTGCCACCGAGTCCGTCAGCGTCACCATGGCCTTACATGTCCTATCACTGCCACCGAGTCCCTGCGTTGTCACCAAGTCCCCGTCAGCGCCACCGAGTCCCCGTCAGTGCCACCATGGCCTTACATTGTCACCAGGTCCCCATCAGTGCCACCGAGTCCCCGTCAGTGCCACCATGGCCTTACATTGTCACCAGGTCCCCGTCAGTGCCACCAAGCCCCTGTGTTGTCACCGAGCCCCTGCATTGTCACCGAGTCCCGGCGTTGTCACCAAGTCCCCATCAGTGCCACCACAGCCACACTCCGTCAGTGTCCCCTGGCTGCAGAGGACGATGGCACGGGACTGTCACCATCATGGGACATCCCTGTGGCCCCACGGGTGTGTCCCTTGGATGTTCCTCATTCCTGTGTCCCCTCACCACCGTCCTCGATGTCCCCAAGCTCTGGGATGTCCCCAGGCCCTGGGATGTCCCCACGTCCCCATGTCCCTTCAGCTGCAGGTGAGCAGGAATGTCCCTACGGCCACGGGACATCCCCGCACCCCTCTGGGATGTCCCTGTGTCCCCGTAAGATGTCCCCGTGTCCCCGCACGATGTCCGGGTGTCCCCACGGGAGGTCACCACGGTGTCCCCGTGTCCCCTCACCACAGTCCTCGATGTCCCCATGTCCCTGTGTCCCCTCACCACCCCTCTGGGATGTCCCCGTGTCCCCACACGGTGTCCGGGTGTCCCCGCGGGAGGTCACCGCGGCGTCCCCGTGTCCCCTCACCGAAGGCGAAGAGCCGGTCCCAGGCGTGGCAGAAGGCGTGCCAGGGCGCGGGCAGCAGGCGCAGGAGGGGACGGGGCAGCGCCATCGTCACCAGCGTCAGCGCCAGCACCGCGCCCACGCTGCGGATCACGGCCTCCGTGTCCCCCGTGTCACCGCTGCCCTCCCCGGTGTCACCGGTGTCACCCAGGCAGCCCAGGCGGCAGGAGAACAGCACCCAGGAGATGGCTG